AAATATAAACAATTAGAGCAAAGAGGGTGTAGACGTGATTGTTGTATGTATATGTTACTCGGATCGTCAGATCGATGAAAGTTGAAAAATTTGTTTGTAACAGAATAAGTTACGGTGGTAAAAGTCTAGTTAAAACGAAAGCGCAGAGTGGAAGTAATTCGAAGTAACATGATATTCATATGTGACGAAATCCTTTAAACAAGAACAGAGCCGATCATAGTAGCTCTACTCACTGCTATTTCTATACTTGTCATTGTAGCAACGAGTTAAGTGACCTTAGGAACTATGGATTTGTAAGAGCAAAATAGCAAATAATCTCGTGTGTGAGGGTATATATGTGGGTATGAGTAACACATCTACACAACAATCGCACCCACACCCACACCCTCAAGTTGAAATAGAATCGTTTATTTTAGAAATATATTGATATATTAATTGAAAAAAGAATATCTCGAACGACAATCGAATCAAAATGATATTTTACGTTATTTGACTTAGAACGATCTATAAATGAGAATTTTGATCAAATATTTTTATAAGAATATTCAAAACATCTATTTTACGCTATATAATCCAGAATATACGATCATTCTTAAATGAATCATTTTCGGTCTCATTTCAATTTGCTTATTTTCAAATTCTTTCAAAGAATAAACAACTGACGTACAAATACTATATATTAAAATTATTTATTTTTTCTGTTTTTTTCTTAAATGATTAAAATTTACTGTATTTTCAAAAAGTTGAGTTTTAAAATAATTAACTTAACAATATCAGTTGCCACAAGTACTTTTCCTATATCTACAGCAAGTCTCACATCTCTTTTCAAAATTTCAGGATAATCGATTCTACTTGTAAATCCTGTTGTTTATCTAGGGTATGAGTGCGGATGAAAGAGGACACTTATACCCACACCCTCAACATGGTTTAAAATTATTATTTTTCTACAAGCGTCAGTATCGATCGATTTTGTAATTTACATAACTATATGGAGGTCTTATCATACTTTGTAGAAAGTTCTCAAAAACTCTCTTCAAAAACTTCCAGAGATATGCGTACAGAAAGTTCATTTAAGCACAGGGCAAATATTTTTGTATCTTACTGTATGTAAAGTTCAACAAACAGATTATTAGTTCATTTTTATTACTGTGAGAGACTGCAAGTGCAATTTATATTATTATACAATATTCGACAAATCTTTTCATGACCTTTATTCAGTTTTTGTATTCAAACGAGTACATTCTTCCTTTATTTAATAATTTTTAATAAATATAAATCATTAATCTTCTACAAGGCATTTATAATCTTATCTTTGTTATTATGAATTTTATTATAAAAAATTTTTTCAAAGAATAAATTTGACAATGAACTCTTTTCAACTAAATATCTCTCTCTATATATATTAATACAAGGGAACATTGTTAGATTTTGTTAATGATAATACAAATATTTTGAACTCTCTGTTAAAATATAAAGATCGTGGCAAGTCTCATCTCGGATATTTCGAGGTATGATTACGTATTTGTAGTTTATTTCAAATTATAATTAGACAAATTTAGACGAGCAGAAAGCAATCTGTATGTCAATAATAAAGAATAGTAACCTTAATTAGTTTCTATTAAAGATTATTTTTTCATAATTATGCTCTAGAATAATACAAATATGTGATTTATTGTTGAGGAAAATAATCTGCTTATACTCTTTCACCATAAAGTATGGTAGAAATCTCAGTTTATAATAATTCTAAAGATAAAATTATTCTATTCTCTTGAGATACACAAACGACTAAAATAAAATATATTTTAATATCAATGAAGTTTAGATTGAAATTTTTTCGACCGTATAAATGAAGAGAAACTATTGAAACTGATGAGTTTTTAACAAATAATTGTTTCTATTTGAGGCATATCATTATTTTTTAATCTTTGTCTACAAAAACAAAAACTAATTTTTCTTAATAACAGATTATTCAACTATTGCGATTTAATAAGGTTTTAAATAGAGTGAAATTTGTTTCTACGCATAAAGTTTCTCTTATGGACATTTATATTGTTTATTCAAGCATTTTAATTATTGTTTAGAAACATTTATTTATTTTATTAATTGAATTCAATACAAACTTCTACTATGATTAATAATCAAACAAAAACCAATGGTTTTATACTTAGTTTGGTTTCTCTTGGTTTAAATACATTTGCATGTTTGATATCATGTATAGTTTTTCTTATTATTGTATATCATCTTTATTATAATCATGTCAAACGTGAAGACAAAATAACTGTTGTTCTTTGTGCTCATATATATTTAGCAATTTTAATATATTCATCAATGTTATCATCAATGAGTATTCGATCAATGCTGGGTGATTTGTATAATCAATCTTTTGATTCATTGTGGTGTATTTTTTCAGGATATTTAGCTTCTGTAATGCTTGCTATGTTGTACATGACCTTTGTAAATCAGGTAATTCGAAAGAATCGAAACTAGAAAATTTATATATTCGTTTTTTTAAATAATTCTAGGCATTCTATCGTCTTATTCGAATTGTTTATTCTCAAAATAGATGGTTTCAATCTTTAAAATTATATATAATATTACCTATTATAGAAATAATAGTAGTAACATCTATTCTTCTATGTATTCTTATACCTTTGAATGGTGTGACATATTTTCCAAATGATTACTTTTGTTATCCAATATACACAAATATTCCTGGTATTCTTTCAGCAGCAGTTGTTGCTTACATAGGTCCATTTTGTTGTTTATTATTTATTTATCTACATATAACAAGATTTATTCATCAACAAGGAAATACGCAAACACTAGTAGTCAAACAAAGACAAGTTCGCGATTTACTTATTATTCGACGTATTTTAATTATTGTTAGTTTTTTACTTATTCTTGGAATACCTGCCATGACGTTTATATTTATGTTTATAATAACAGGTGAAGAATATCCAGTACTTGGTCGAATTGTATTTTTACCAGTTAGTGTATCTGAAGCAGGATTGAGTATCGCATTACTTTTTTCTATTCCACAACTAAAAAATATTGTTCTAAAGTTACGAATAATAAGAAAAGTGATGCCTGCCAATCAAATCGTGCAAGGTACAGTACAAGTAAGAACGATTATTAGTATTCAATAATTGTACATAGTTTACAATTTCAATAGTGAAATCAATTTTAATTATTTTTATGTCAATATGTAAGTGAAGTTGTTCTTGTTTATCTATGAATATGAAATTACTCTATTAATTATTATCGTTATGAGTATTGTTTGCGGTGAAATCAGTATATGTTGTGATACTCAGTTTTCTATTGTTTATTTTCGTTTATTAATGTGTAGAAATAAATAAAATTGCAGTATTAATTGAACTAAGGTATAAAATGTAATGATTTTGATAGAAAGAAAAAGAAGAAGAAATCTATAGGCTAGAATGACACAATAGTTAAAAGCACAGAATAATATGAATGAATGATGATTATGCTTAATGTCAGATGTGTCCTCAAGTAAAGTTTTACATTATATGATAGAATTATAAGCTCAAGAATGAGGATGACTGAATATGAATGTAAGTAGGAGAGATATGAAACAACAACACCAATATTGACCCTCATTAATAAAAAGATCAGATCATATGGTCGAATCGCAATGAAGATATTAAACTTTTTTGGATAAAATGACTTTTCTGTGGGTGCGGGCGTGCGTGTGAAAGTGAGGGTGATGAGGTGATGGTGAGGATTTCGGTATAGGTGACAATGATGACTAAGAGAGTACCCATACCTAAACCATCACTCGCTGTCTTTTTAAGTGTTCGGATTACTTTTTTCCAGTGTGCGCAGTTGTTTTATAACTAACCTTGAATCGTTTCTTTCGACTCATCTCTATGTTGAGAAGGACTTGAATTCAGACAACCGCAGTCGATTTTTCAGATTTAGTGCATGGTTATTTAAAAATTTGTTTATTCTGGTTACATATTTACTTAAGGAAAAATCGCACACGCATAGAAAACGACCATACACATAATGTTATTAAATGTAAAAACTGAAATATCGTTAATTTAGCCGTAAGTTTTTTCTTTTTTTTAATCGCCAGTCTTACCACACGCCGACTCTTTGTAATCTTCTCTAAAACTTAATTCACCAACGTCATCTGTCTTATGTGAAATATGAGCATATCGTTGTTCTCTACAATCTCCGAGAAACGTCGATGCAAAATTTGGTGCGAAGAATAACATATCACCACCTCCTGGCGATGAAGCCTGTTGAATAGTCAAAGCTAAAATTACCAATATAACAGCCGAAATATAAATGATTTTTGTCATAATGGAGTTGTAATGACTCGATAAGCAATATAAATGGTTGACTCAATTCAATAAGACTGTAACCATAATATGATAAAACAAGCGTTTTTACAACAAAACTGATACTGGATTTCTACCTTTTCTCTTGTCACTAAGTAAGCAAACAGTTGTCATTGTGTGAATATTATTTCTTATAACCTTATGAATGCTATTTCACAGTCAATACGAAACTATCACTTTCTCAATCATCCATTCATTCAACATCATGAACAAAAATTAGATTTTGTTTTGTATTAATTCCAGTCACTGCACTACCGTCTTCTTCAATTTATAAAATCGTTTCGTCCACTCCTTTTATAAAACAAACGAAAATGAGTGCCAACACATACAAAATACAAAGTGCAAGACTATTGTTGCAGAAAATTGAAGAAATAAAAATATTAAAAACAAGAATATTTCATTAACAGGTGTCCTATAATGAATGAGCCTCTCGGTATTTTACATCTTTCTCCTGTATTTTTCGGCATAGATAAAAAACGTTTTTTTTATCAAAAGACTCCTTGTCAAATTCTCTACAAAACGTAGATATTTTTATTATTTGGAAAAATTTTTGTCATCCTCTGACATATGATGCAATCAATTGGTCCAAGAAGCACAACTTTCAAAGACAACATTTTTCCGAACCTTTTAAGGGTGTGGGTGTAAGTAACACATACACCACAATCACACCTACACACAACATCGATCGGTTTTGTAATTTACACAGCTATATATAGATCTTATCCGACCTTGTAGAAAGTTTACGAAAACTTTCTTCAAACACTTTCAGAGATATCTCTACCGAAAGATGATTTATGCTCAGGACAAAGACTTTTGCACTTTACTGTATGTCGAGTTCAACAAACAGATGATTAATTCTTTTTTTTTATTAGCATGAGAGACTGCAAGTACAATTTATATTATTATAAAATATTCAACTAATCTTTTCATGACCTTTATTCAGTTTTTGTATTCAAACGAGTACATTATTTCTTTATTTAATACTTTTTAATAAATATAAATCATTAATTTTCTGCAAGACATTTATAATCTTATCTTTGTTATTATAATTTTTATTAGAAAATTCTTTTGAAAGAAAAAATTGCAAAATGAATATTTTTTAAATAAAAGTATTTCAATAAAAGAAAAAAAACATTGACTTTTATATTGGTCTGCTACTATTATAGAAAACTAATATTTTTCTTATATAACATGTATATAATATTCTACCAAACTCAAATAAATCTCTCTCTGTTTCTCTCTCTATATATATATTAATGCAAGGGATCATTGTTAGATTTTGTTAATAATAATATAAATATTTTCTGACGGCTGTTATAGCTAGGGGTAGGACAGCTCCATATTAGTTCCGTTCTTAGGAACTGTTTAATAGTTCTTTTGACGGGGAACTGAAATGTATCAACAGTTCTTTCATAGGAACTTCTCTGTGCCAAAACTCATTTTTTCAATACAAATTGTGACTTTTTTTGGCGAATTTTATCGGAACTTTACCAACTAGAATATCTCTTCGAGAAATATTTGAATTGGTATTGAAAAAATCAGTTTTGGCAGAAAGAAGTTTCTATCAAAGAACTGCTAGAACAGTTCAGCTCCTTTTAAAAGAACTGTATTGGCAGTTCTTTTGATTAGTTTGCCCGAACATGAAACTGTGAGCTGTCCTACTCCAAGTTATAGCCAACAGTAAATTGCTGCATGAGATTGAGAAGATTGCATAAACTAACAATGTATTAGGAAACTCTCTAATTAAAATATAAAGATCATGATAAGTCTCATCTCAGACACTTAAAGATATGATAATTCATCTCAAATCATATGTAAACAAATTTATACAATCAGGAAGTACTCGGCATGTCACTAATAAAAAATAATTACCTTAATAAATCTTTATTAAAGATTATTTTTTCATAGTAATGCTCTAAAATAGCACAAGCATATGATTTATTGTTAAAAATAATCTTTTTGTACTCTTTCATCGTAAAGAATGACAGAAATCTCAACTTATATTAATTCTACAGGTAAAAGTATTCTATTTTCTTGAGATATTAGAATTGACTAAAATTAAATATATTTCAATATCAATAAAGTTTCGATAGAAATTATTTTCATAGTGTAGACAGAGAAAAAACATTAATACTAATGAATTTTTAGCAAATAATTGTTTCTATTCAAGATATTTCATTACTTTAATTTTAATCTCAATTGACAAAAACAAACGTACTTTTCTTAATAAAAGATAATCCAACTATTACGATTTAATAATGTTCTAAATAGAATGAAATTTGTTTCCACGTATAAGGCTTTCCCTATGGACATTTAAATTGTTTATTCAAGCATTTTAATTATTGTTTAGAAACATATACTCATCTTATTATTTGAATTTATATATATATAAATATATTAGATATTCATTATTTATTTGTCTATTAAATATTGCAAATATATAATTGAATTTAATACAAACTTCTACTATGATTAATGATCAAACTAAAACAAATGGTTTTATACTTAGTTCGGTTTCTCTTGGCTTTAATACATTTGCAGGTTTGATATCAGGCATTATTTTTCTTATTATTGTATATCATCTTTATTACAATCATGTAAAACGTGTAGACAAAATAACTGTTGTTCTTTGTAGTCACATATATTTAACAATTTTAATATATTCATCCATGTTAATATCAATGAATGTTCGATCAATATTGGGTGATTTGTATGATCAGTCTTTTGATTCATCATGGTGTATTTTTTCAGGATATTTAGCTTCTGTGATGCTTGGTATGTTGTACATGACCTTTGTAAATCAGGTAATTCGAAATAAGAGAAACTAGAAAACTTCTATATAGTTTTTTGAATAATTCTAGGCATTCTATCGTCTAATTCGAATTGTTTATTCTCAAAATAGACGATTTCAATCTTTAAAATTATATATAATGTTACCAGTTATAGAAATAATAATCCTAACATGTATTCTTCTATGTGTTCTTATACCTTTGAATGGTGTAACATATTTACCAAATGATCACTTTTGTTGTCCAACATTCACAAATATTCCTACTATTCTTTCGACAGCATTTGTTGCTTATGTATGTCCATTTTGTTGTTTAATATTTATTTATATGCGTATAACAAGATTTATTCATCAACAAGGAAATATTCAAACATTAGTAATCAAACAAAGACAAGCTCGAGATTTGCTTATTATTCGACGTATTTTAATTATTGTTAGTTTTTTACTTATTCTTGGAATACCTGGAATGACTCTTATATTAATGTTTGTAATAACAGGTGAAGAGAATCCACTACTTGTTCGAATTACATATTTTCCAATTAGCGTCTCCCAAGCAGGACTGAGTATTGCATTACTTTTTTCTATTCCACAACTAAAAAATATTGTTCTAAACTTACGAAAGACAACCACAGTGACGCCTGCGAATCAAGTCGTGCAAGGCACAATACAAATGAACACAATTGCTGGTACTCAATAATTGCATATTGTTTATAATTTCAATAGTAAAATCAATTTTAATTATTTTTATGTCAATACGGAAGTGAAGTTGTTTTTGGGTGGCAATTTTTTTGATCACCACAAAAAGGTACAAGTGACCACCAAATTATTTTGGTGTGAAATGATCACCAAAAAAATATACAAAT